TCCCAGACCAACCCTGCCTCCACCCTGTAAGGGTGACCAACCCAACAGCCCCCAGCATGTAAGGACAGGGGCCGCTGCAGTCAGCTCCAGTGTGTAGATAGGCCAGCCTCTCTGGTGCCAACATGGGGGAGGGGGGCAGGGGGGTGAGCAAGGGGAGTAGATGGAAAAGCTACTGAGGTTGGTGGGGGTGCCATCTCTCTCTTTCTTACACATGCACACACTTCCACCCCACGGTGGATCAGTCACATGGAGGAGCAAGTTGGCCCCAACCCAAGTCGTGTCACTTTCCACGGCGCCATAAGCAGAAGGAAGCTGGTCCCTGGCTGCGGAACACCAGAGAAGACTGGTGCGTGCGAAGGGTCGCGCTGGCGGAGAACCTTGAAAGTCCCGTGGGCTGCCGGGAGAACCAACGGAGCCGTCTTGGAAGAAGGACAGCCAGAGCGCTCCTCAGAGGCAAGGGCATGGAGACTTGGTCCCGCGAACTTTGGACATGTTATCGGGAGGAGCCAGTCCCTGGATGCGGAGATCATGCTCGGGAAAGTAGAGGGACAGCCAAAAAGAGGAAGGCCGTGGCACGGCGGGTCGGCACAGTGGCTGCCGCTGTGGGCTCGGGCATGACCTCGATCGTGGGGAGGGCGCGGGGCCAGACATTGCTCGGTTGTGTTGTACATCGGGGTGCTGTGAGTCGGAACCAGCTCGATGGCATCCACATGGATATGCGGTCTCCATGCAGAGTGGGGAGAGGCTGGGAACCTGGCTAGTGCAAGGACAGGGAGGGGGGAGAGGGGGATCGGATGGGAAGGGAGTTAAGATTTAAGAGATGTGGTGGAAGAAGAAGAAGAAGAAGAAATAGAACAGGCATGTTCTGGGATTAAAACCAGCAAACAAAAGCAGAGAAGGGGCAAGATTATCCTGAGCGAGAAAGGAAGTAAATGAGAGAGAAACAGAGACCTAGGAGTGAGAGAGTGAATGATCGTGAGGCATATTGGCAGAGAGAGCGAGAGAAGGGGGAGGAGAGAAGAGGGAGGTGGGCAGCACTGTGGCTGCACATAGGTAAGGACATGGTAAGGACACGGTAGTTGAGAACATGACGAGGTAAGGACGTGT